ATTTTTTCATTTTTTTTCAGGGGCAAATTTTGTTGGTAGACTAAGCTTAGTCTAACGTCATCTCTTTCCATAGGTCTATACACCGTTTTTTGTCTGTCAAAGACGACGGACTGGGTAAAATATATGTCCGTCATGAGCGGCGAAATTCCGTCAAATGATGCAAGGATGGATGCTGGCTTGAACAGTGGTTGAAACACAAAAGGCTTAGCACAACATGTGAACCTTTGTGACGCTGGGTGGGACCGTGGCCAGTACTGGACCTGCCGTCATCGATGTACTCTCCCCTCCCGGCGTCCAGCTCATCCCTGGTGGTGCTGCCGTTCCAGTTGGAGGGTCTGTTGTCAGGGATGTCCTCATAGTTCTGTAGGCTGTTTGTCTCCGAGGCAGTGGTGGGGGTGGGCACATCAGTGCTGCAATTAAAGGCAGGGACAGTCGCTTATTACAAAACAAATGTAATCTTTATACTGAAAAGTTTACATAGATTCTTTATTGACTTAACAAAAGTACAGGGACTTTCAGATGGTCTACTGCAACTAGGATCAAACATGCCCTTTTACTGAATCCTCTTATCACAATTACCGAAGTATGAATAAAGAAGTAAATTTTTCACTATTGATCTACACATTTTAGTTAACATCCGTGTCCATAATATCACCAGGGTCCATAATATCGCCAGTGTACTTGAAGATATTTTTACTGCAACATACTTTTGGTATACACCTCAAATGTACATACCTAGTATGTTGCAGTAAAAACATCTTTAAGCACACTATTTCTCAAGGTGGTGATATTATGGACCCTGGTGATATTATGGACACAGATGTTACTACAGTTCTACATAATCCAAATGCAGCTTGTATATAGTTTTATTTTTTGCCAGGTTTTTAATTTTTCTACCTCAAAGTCACAAGCAACCAGTTGCATGAAAAGAGACCTGTGCAGTATGATACAATTACAATCCTCTCACGTACATGCAATTAATTCAAAAGCACCTTAGCCCCAGACAGATTACACTTGTACCTTGAGAGCCATATACATGTAAAGTGGGTCTTAAAACAACTCTAATAAAAAAAATGTTTTATTTACCAAAAAAGACACAAAGGCCAGCAGAATGCATGCACCCACACCCAAATACAATCATTAGTAAAACTTCAACCACCAAATTCTACATAATTAAGCCATTTCCATTGATGTTATCAAAAGCATGCTTAAAGCAAGTACAGCAACCACCTTATTCATTAATAAGCACCTGCTGCTTCATAAGGCCTAGGAAAAAAATGTTGTGTTTCCTGTTTCTCGACCGATCCTAGAAAAACTGGCCGAGACTAGCCTTTTTTTGGGG